TTAATGCAAGACTGTAACACTGTAAAACGAACAACAGTTTAGCTGTATTTACAACTTGGCTTAGACTAAAGAGCACTTCATCACAGAAAAATGTTTAAAAAACTGCACTTTGTGAAATTACTGTTCATCCCCCATAATTTCACATCTAGCTCGCTTTTTCATGATTTGAAGCAGAGCATTACGACGGTGGTTTGTGGACCTAAAAAACATCTTGGTTGTTATATCATTCAGTTTCTCCAGGCCCTGCTGGGTGAAATGGGCAATAGAACCATACTTGGACAGCAGTTCTGGTACGTGTGTCACCAAGATGTGGATATATGGGGTCACATGAGTTGTGTGGTAGATGGATGTAAACAGATTTAACCATGCTTTACTTCTGGTCTTGAAATTGCACACTTCATCTAGTGTAAATTTGCCATGCTCACTGCGAAGAGAGATACACAAATCGTACATCTCATCCCATAAAAATTGAAGGTCCTCAATTTTACAAAGAAGATGAGTCATGTCTCAGACAGTTTTATGTTTTGACACAAGACAAGTTTTTCAGGCCCTGTGAGAATCCTCCATTTGAGTTTGTTGGATGACTGGCCTAAGTAAAACGAAAAACCTGATATTCCAATACTAGCTACAAATGTTTCTAGTTTTACACAGTTCTTGTGTTTCTTCTGTCAAATACTCTGAGAGAATTTTTTTCAGCTCGTCTGAGATCAGCAATCAGCAAGTTTAACAGTACGTTTGTAATGCGCAGGAACATGTGAAGGGTATCAATTACTACATATTGGATCTCTATTTAGGGAAATATTGGCACATGTGAGCAGTTATATCTTGCACATTTCTTAGGCAACTGGGAACACTTCTGTATTTCCTCTACTGTTCTACAACCTTTCTTTCTATCTGTCATTGACCATTTAAGGGAAGTGTTATGGAATTCTTTTGATGAACATTTACAATATACACAGGAATAAGTACAAGAAGCACTATCAATTCCACAGCAGCACAATAAAAACTTGTAATCACCTCCCAAGCAATAGATGATTTTGTATGCTTTACCATCTACAGCAACTTCTGTTAAGTCTTCAATGTCCCTTTTCACATCTGCCAAGTGCTTTGCTAAGGCATCATAACCTTTGGAATCCTGAAATGATTTACGTCTGAACATCACCTGAAGCTGTGAGATTATAAAGTGCTGAACAAAGTAGGAAGTGCTACCAGGTAACTTTAAATTCAACGAAGTTGTCTGTGGCTAATTCATCATAGTTTTCCTGAACAATGTAATCATGGATTTCTTTCATCAGCTGGTGGATATCTAATCGGAGGTTTGTATTCACTCAAAAGATTGCCGACAGATGTCGACAAAAAAATCATCACATTTTCAGGCGGAGTAAACACATCCATGTTTACAGCCGGTTCATCGCTGTTAGCACTGTTGTCCTATGAAATAACATACCCGTCTGTTAAATATATATATCTTTTTTATAGAAAAAATCAAACTGAGCTTCAATAGATCAAAAGACAATAGAAACCTGGAACGTACAACATACAGTAGAGTCTAACTAAGTCGATATCATGTTATCCGTCATATCGTCCAAGGTAGCCGTTTGACAAATGTCCCGATCATTTATAATGCATTTCCATTCAAAGATGACATTTCTAAGTTAGCATTTATACATCGTCTTTCGAAAATTTCAGCGTGTTTTTTTTGTACATGTACAGTATATGTATTGCTTATGCGCACTGCACTGTCGAGTGCAGATGACAATGCATGTAAGTGTGTATTTACTGCAACTGGGGACCCACTATTGTTCCTCTTTTGTTTGTACTTAAACTTTTTTAGAAGACCACCCATATGTTTTGTACACAGTTGTCAATTGGGGACCCTCTGTCAATCAACAATGGTGAGTAAATATCTAACATTTTTGAAACAGGTTCCTTTTCGATACAGTCCTCGTCTTGCCGACCTTTTCATACATACTTTGCTTCCCTCCTCCATTACAGCAGTTGCCACGGGACAAAGTTTCCTCCTTCAAATTTGCACTGTTTCTTCAATGAAGGCCAGATAGTTGAGATATGCAAATTGGTAAATGAGTCCTGTTAAAACAGAAAGCAATTGTGCACATTTAATATTTTATTATGACAATTTCAATGCCTGTGCAATGTTACCATTGGTCATTCCACAGATTGAGGGTGCAAAATATGAAATTCCTGTGTCCCTCTTACCATATAGCATGGAATGTGACCTGTGTAATTTAGCATGGAAATGTCACTGATGTTGATTTGAAGTTATTAATATCTGTTTGGAATGCAATATGTATTAGGCCTACTTCCTCTCTTCTAGACATTAGAGAACGTGTTTTGAACTTACAAAATAATAAGGCCTACGGAAGACGTAACAGGGACATAAAAAATGGGCCCCTAATTATAGAATAACTTTCTTTCAGTGACAACACAAAAACCTTCAAATTAATATTCGAGTTTTTAGGGGGGTAGAATGACAGGCTTGATCTGTAGATCTCATGCCTGCAGTCAAGCTAAATGCACACAAAAATGTAGGCCTACCAGTAAAAGTAAGATTTACAAAGCTTTGAGATTATGCCAGTTTTACAGGACGTTTTGGCGAAAATGCATCAGTTTTAGAATAATGTTGTCATTTTTATGGTAACTGTAATGCTAATTAAACATTGTTATTTTGCTAATATTTACATAAAATTTTAAATTTCTATTCGCCACCATGGAACAATGGCACAGTCGGCAGGCCTACGCACGCTGCTGTATAATGAGTAGAGCCTATGTGTCAGGATCGTATATCCCACCAGGGACTGAATGTTTTTCTTTCTCCTTTTCCTCATTTTTTTGTTTCAGTTCTGTCTGAACTGTGAATGAATGCTTAAAGGAGAGCTTAGGCTATATAGGCGAAGGCCCTACATCATTATTTCAAACAGGAGATTAGCTGTTGCCAAGGCCCGTACCGTCCACCTAGGCTGCATAAGCATCTAGGCCTAGTGGTGAACGTACTGGTTCGTAGTGCCACTGTCATGGCTGTGAAGTGTACCGATACTGGCGGTACTCCCGTGCTAATAGTGGCAGTGGGCCCTCTGATAGGGACACGTATGGGTTATTGCGCATGTGTTGTGCGCAATTTGTTTTCGTTTCCTTTCGTGTACAAAAAACTGGCATTGCAGCTCCAAACTGGATCGCACCGGTTCCAACCGGATTCCCACCTCAAACTCCATGTTATCCCCGTCTTTTGGCTCTTATCGGAGAGCAACAGGGTCTCTTTGTGTCGCCGTAAAAAAGTCCCGATTAGTCGGCAATACGTTCAAATAATTGTGGGCTCTAGACATAGGCGTGTTGTACTGCAGCCCCTGTAAAATCTGTAGTGCGCCCTCTGTTGACCTACTGGAGATTACCTTTCTAAATGGAGTCGCCGGATCGGTGGCAGCTGCTATGTTTGAGCGTGCATCTGCAGCCGCTGCCAATAATCTGGACGGGGCCCTAACATGTGAATCCTGTATGCACGTTAATAGCGGAGCTTTATCAGGTCACAGGAAATCCTGCCTGCCTGCCATACCCAATTGTGGAGCTATCATGCAATAAAAAAATTATGTGTGCACGTGCGTTAAACATAATTCGTGCAAGATTCGACTAGGAGGGGATTTGAGTTCGTTGAAGATTTCTTTTATGGTCAATTTTCAGCGACCCATACATCATTCATTTAGCTTCAAACATAACTCTATACAAAGCACGCATATTGTCTGTACCACGTGTATATGTACGACCGCCTTTTCCTACAGTTCTGGGCGTTTCCTAGTTCCAGGTTGCTTCAAATAAAAAATGGAGGGGGGGATTGGTCTATAAAAAGAAAAATGTAATGTTCTTTGTGTACATCTCATTTTCACAAATTTTCTATAAAAGAGATTTTAGACAGATTTCCGACTTGCAATATGACTTTTTCGGACGGCTTGCAAAATATCACGGGAGCTGCCAATCGATTTAGAATTTTTCTGGGTGGTACTTCACTAACATCATTGCGACTTGAAGCATATTTTCCTTAGTCTGAATCAAATGACTATCAAATCCAAATAATTTTAAGTACCTCAATTATCTAATATTAAAAATTAGCCAATAGGCCTTTGCATTTGCGGGTAATTTTGGATCTAGGTTCCAGAACTCTGCACTACTTCGGTTTTCAGGTACCCGGGGCCGATTTCACCAAACTCACCGTAAGTTGCGACCAATTGTAGAGTTGCAATGCATCGTAGCGCTACGATCAATTGTAGTTACGATGGATTCTAAAATGGATTTCACGAAACACGTCGTAAGCGCGATTCGTTGTATTTTTTAATAAGAGGGGGTACATTTATTGAACGAGGATGAACCTTTGACGGCTGTTCCATGTTTGTTAGCACGAGGGAATTTAGTGTTAGTACAACAGTCGTTCCGCCAAGATCAACATGGCGACGATTACGCTGATGCACAGAAATGACAGAAAACAATTGGACAACTCAGTGTGATGGAGGATTGGCAAAGTGTGTCGTCTGCTAGGAAGTGAAAGGTAAAAAAGCGGAAGTCAATTTTTAAAGAAAATAGAAGGCCTTGTGTAAAATCAAAATAAACTGCAGCCTCGGCAACATCTACAGCGCCAACAAGTAGACAGTAGACAGCAAAAATAACGACACACGTTCGTCCGTCCAAGGTGGGTTCAACTCATTTGCAGAGCCCTATTTTTAAAACTTCAAGCTAAAATACTTCTTATTTAAAAAAAACGATATTTAAAAAAAATTATTTGTACTTCTCACATTTAAGACCTTCAAGGAATGATTTGGTTAAAAATTGTATGAAGGTGGGTAAAAAGGTTGGGACTAAGGCACTCGTTTGGAGTGAAAATGCAGTGACATTTAAGACAAAAAATGAGATCCTTAGGGACTCTGACATTTTTCACACGCAGTCCCCCTCCCCCAATACTGGATTCAGCCTAAGTTAGGGCATATCGTTACATTGAAAATACATGTATTCCAAGAATTGCTGTGGGAAGCCGAGTGCCTAAGTTGATTTGATTCTGCACCCTTTTATTAACACATTTTGTGTAGGTTCAGCTGGCTAGCTAGGATTACACGTAGACCATGGCTAGTTTGAGCAGTTCGTGTGCTAGTACTAGTACGCCTAACCCCAAAACAACAAAGCGCCCCAGAAGCACCAACTGGACCTACGAGGAGGTTCGTATACTCAGTGCCTTTGTGCGGGAGCATACAAACAAGCTGTTTGGAACATCCCACAAAGGCACTGAGGGCTTTGAGGAGGAAAAACAAAAATGCTGGAAGATGGCAGCAGAAAACCCGAGAGCCAGTGGCGGAGAAGCCAGGGACTGGCAGAGAATAAGGAAAAAATGGCAGGATGTTACGTGCAATGCAAGAAAATACTACAGGGAATGCCATCAAACCGGTAAGATTAAACTCTGTATCAATTTTATTCCGCATATCTTTCCTGACCCAAGGTATAATACATGTATTCAAAAGTAACATTGAAATCTGTCCTTGTCCTTTCACTACAAGTTTGGAATTTTCCAATGTTATTAGAGCCTTGTGATTGTTGCAGGAGGGGGTGAAAAGCCGGCTTACAATAAGACATTGGAAGTTGTGCTTGATGCACTGTCCCCAATTTCCAAAGACGGCATCATTGACAAAGCTGAAGGAGAAACCTTCCCCGAAGAGCTTCTGAACCAAGTGGCTGAAGGTCTACCCCCATGAATGCTCTCACACTTAAAACTTACAGGCAGATGTGTGATTTACAAAAAAAGTATACCCAACTTGAAATGAAACAAAATCGAATAATTATAAGTTGAATACTCGATTTGAAAAGTTCATAAAACTACCAAAACCCCCATTCTCATGTTCGCCCCTATGGGGCGTAGTCGCGGTCCAAGTAGTTCAGCGCCCTCTCGTGGTCTTTGTAGTTTTTTCACTAAAGTTGCACCGTCGTTCAGTCACGCCAGGTTTTAACCCATTGTAGAGCCGGTTTTTCCATCATTTGTAGACCACTTTGTTCTGTGAGCCTTACTCCAGTAAACGGCTGGTGAGTTAAGATTCCGTTGATATTTGTATAAGTGATTATTGTTTGTTATTTGATGAGTAATATGTAGCGTAAATTTCAGGCACATTTTGCCACCATAACTTCTGTATTGCATTGTTAATTTTCTTGTGCCTTGTGAAAACTTTCCCCGGATTTGGGCCTTAGAATTTTCCTTAATAGCGAAGCGAGTTTCTCAGATGATGTGGTTGTAATGTTCAGTATTGTTTTCTGGTCAAGAAACAGTGGATATTTGGTCATTTTCTTTCTTTATATCGAGGATAATTGAATGTCACGTTAGGTTATGAACTTAGTTTTTGTGTGCACTTGAGGCCTGCCTAAGTGCATGCACTCGCCATTTTTTTCCACGATGTCATGAATATTCATAACCTAGATTCCGTATTTGGAATTAGTGTATCCTTATTTGGAAATTGCAGTAGCGCTGTCAGTTTACAGTGTATTTAGGAACTACATGCATTTTTCTCGTTTTCAGGTTGCTGATTTCAGTATTCCAGACCTGTAGACTATTTT